ATGAGGAGCAGAGATGAAACATTGCCCATATCAAACACATGTTTACCCAGTGGAGGTGCCGGGTTCATTTGCTGGAGTTTACTCATTCCAAGCCAACCACTTCAAAGAGGCACGTAAACCCAACCAAGTAGATTGTTTGCTTACTGGGTGGATGAAGACCTTGGGCAAACAATTACACATGACATACACCAATGAGGACAGTCTTTCTCTTCTGGGTGTAATCTGCCATCATTCCATATTAAAGCAATGACTTCTTGGCAAGTTCAGGGCTGAGACCTACAGACAGCCCCCTTTATGCCACGCAAAAGAAAGGCATAAAAACCTACCCTCTTGGTCTAGTATTTATAGAGCTTTGCATTCTGTCCTTCCTAATACATGACAGAAGAAAGTTCTAGGTCTCTCTGAACAATGCAACTCTTGAGAGGAGATACAATGTATCCACCTGAATTTCAAACTCTTTTCTGATGTTAATGCACCAGTTATTACAGGTTGACTCTGCTTTGTTAGAAGAGGCTATACCACACTCATAAACAAACAAACAAATAAACAAATAACTTAAGGGAATTCCTGGTACTATGCTTCTGTGCTTAAACAAAAGGGAGTATAAGTTTAAGAGGCATCCAAAATCTGATCAACTTTTCACCCTGGGTTCTGTTTACAGAATCCTCAGCTCACATTGCTGGAATGATACAAATATAGCCAGTATTGCTTTGATCTGTGGTCAGCTTGGCTTTCCAATCCTGGCACAATGGTGACATTTAAGAGGCAAAGGGATAAAATTATTTTCATTCCAGCCTTTCAAACATGATAAAGACTTATAAAACAGCTCTGACCAGGGAATGTTGGGACCAAAGATGAGTTTGGATCTAAACAGGCCATATCTTTTTTTTTTTTTTTTTAACTAAAAAGTTCTTCTTATCCTTCTGGGTATATACAGAAGTATAAATAGTTAAGCAGATTATCCATTCTCCTGGGTCAACTCTTTTATTAAAATAAGGACTGATTGGACTAAACTTGGCAAAAAAATAGGAGGGGGGAATTGCAACAAAGTAACAATACAAACCAGAGTTAAGATTGGTCCTGTAAACCAGTCTCTGTCACTTTCCAAAAAGAGCATAATAGCTTTGCAAACAATTAGTCAGGCTTCCAGGAATCAAAATGAACCCTTGTTCGCTTATCTATTTACTCATCACTCGACAGTCAGTTGTCTGAATCACTCAAATTCTTGCAGCCTCACCTGCAACCCAGCCTCCTAATTTGACAGCTGAGACCAGGTGAGAGCAGTCAGCGGGGCTGAGGGCAAGCCTATTAATTAACCTTGTCCATTTCAGAACAAAAGGTCTCCTTCCTCCTCTTGAGGCCCACCTTCCATCTGTACCTCTCTTGAAGGAGACTAAGGGGAGGGGGGAGGATAAGACTGAAGGGATAGTGGTGGCACACAGGCAAAGCCCATGGCTTGTGCAATTGCCTACCAGACACAGACCTATAGACACAAGCTTGTGTGGACTATCACCACAAGTTCGGATCTACGGGTTTGTGGCAACAGGCCTCGGCATCTTCTCTCGTTTGGGGGTTTGACATGTCTGAAAATAAAATGTTAAAACCATTAGTCCAACACGGTTAGGCCATTCAATTATTTTATGCCAGAAAGGAAAAGGATTTAGTCCCGCCCTCAAAAGGGCAAAAGTTAGGCAAAATCTCCTATTCTCTCCCAAGTACCTGCCTAGGTTTGCACTCTCTCCACAATATGGTGGGTTTTAGGCAAACCTCATCATTTTACTTTATAAAAAATGGAATCCTCATTTATTCAGTCCTTAATGCACGATGTGGGCAAAGTAATGTCAATATGGCAAATCAACATAATAAAGAAAAATTCTTTAAATTGTAAATAGAAAACACCTGAAGGCCCAAGTACAGGATCATTTTTTTTTAAATACTTGTAATTGCATGGAATAGAATAGTGAAACTTCCCTTTTCTATTTACATTATAGAAAACAGCCGGAATAAACTAGTAAAAACTACCATCAGACTTGAAAGAGCATTTTCTGAATACCATTCTAGAGGGGATGCAATTATATTAAATAATTATATTAAATTGGAAGACTCATCTTCAGGGAAAGTTTGTTGTTTTATTCCTACCCCCACCCATCCTTGCCCCTATTATTGGTCCAAATATCAACAATGGACATGTTTAGGTATATTTTGTAAAATTCAAACCATAAAAGAAATTACATAATTGCTACCCCCAACACTGTTCAAGGGTATGAGAAATGAATCTGTTTCCTTCTCATAAAAGGATTTCATTTGTCAACCGTATCATTCTTTCTTGGAGGCCTGTGTTCTACATCTCAGAATGGGACATCCAAGGCAATGAACTTGTAGGAATGACTCCTCCTATGAGTTTTATGGAAGAACTAGTCTTAATCATCAGTACGAAGACTCACAGTTTGGAAAGCTAAATAATTATCCTCACTGTGTGCTGGGAAAAGCTCATACTTCCATCCTTTGAAATGACCTAAAAAGAGACCTTTACAAATTTTGTTAGCTATGATTATGGATCCTGGCTCTCAAAATAATCCCCTTGACTTTAACAAATTGACTTTACTCCTTTTTCAAGAATGTAAGAGATAAACTAAAGCTCTCCTGACAACAACAAAAAATGATAAAAAGTGAATTGGGGTATTATTCAGAGAAAAGATCAGGTTCTATATACACATCTAGAAGGTGAAATCAAGAGAATAGAAGAACAATAGTAGGAAGACCTGGACTGAGATGCACCCATCTGGGGATACCTTGCTGTCTGCCTACATCATCTCTAGTGAGCTCTGGGTGCAACTGCCTGGAGCCTGCTGTTGCTGCAGAAGTTGCCCAAACTGTAATCTGTAGTTCTGTGAGGCTTGTCTTGTAGATCCACAGAAGTGACAACAGCCAAGTGAAAATGAGTATCCACATGAGAAACCCCGAAATGTCTTTACTTAGTTTATTTTAAAATGCTCATTTCCTTTATAAAATAAAATATTTTAAAAAATAAGCCTGGAGACTCTTATTTTCCTTTGATCTCTCTGACAGAGGAATAGGGCCAGAGCTGGGCACAGTGGTACTTGATTGTAATCTGTAATACCAGCTGCTCGGGAGGCTGAGGAAGGAGGACTAAGAGTTCAAAGCCAGACTCAGCAATTTACCAAGGCCCTGAGAAACTTAGCAAAACATTGTCTCAAAATAAAAAAAAAAAGAAGAAGAAAAGAAAGAAAGGGGAGCTGCTCTTGATGTGGCTCAGTAGTTAAACATTCCTGGTTCAATCTCAGGTACCAAAAAAGGGCCATGGGCACTTAAAGATGAACACTTTGAACAACATTAAGGATTGTTAAAATATATGGGACACAGGAGCTCTTCTTAAAACTGAAGGGAATATGAACAGATTCCCAAAATAAAAAGAACTAATTGTTATTACAGGCTGAATAACCCTAATCCAAAAATCCAACATCTTAGATGTATCAAAACCTGAAACTTTTTGAGCAGACATAATGTCATAAGAATAAAAACTCCACATCTGAACTCAGTGACAGGTCTCAGTCCAAAAGCAGGTGCACCAAACATGTTGTATAAAATTAGCTTCAGGTACATGCAATAAGGTCTATAAGAAACATAAATGAATTTTGTGTTTAAGTTTGGATCCCCTGACCAAGTTATTTCAAAGTATCTGCAAATATTCCCAATCCATAAAATAATTTTAAAAATCTGAAATACTTCTGGTCCCAACCATTTCAGATAAAGGATACTCAATCTATATCATGTTTATTAAAACAATATAAAGCATTATTTGTTAGCAGTGGACTAAGATCTGTCAAAATGGAACCACCTTCATGAATTTGTATGGTTTTCTCTTAAGCCCAGAGAAAGGATGCCAATGCTGTATTTCAATTGGGGGCATCTTATATCATTCTCTTTAGCAAATATAAGATGAAAAGAAGTTATTTACTCTGTTTTGCTAGGGTAATTGCTAATGTTAGCTTCTGAACAATCCAAAGTTTTAAATTAAAAAAAAAATAAAAATGAAAGAGCAATCAAAAATCACCCAGGCTACTAAAAAAAAGAAGGAAGAGGAGGAGGAGGAGGAGGAGGAGGAGGAGGGATCAAATTGAATCATATACTGACCTAGTAGGGTAGAGTAAGGGTATGTTTAGATAGATATTTTTCCTGAAATAGTAATAGAATACCTTCTTCAAAGACCTTCTTTGTGTTAAGATGGAAAATAAGGATGCTTTTCAGAGGAAATTTTGGCTTGCCTCATTAAGCAAGATTCTGTGGGGGCTCTCTTAGTAATACTAATACGTAAGTTAAAAAATATAAGCTAATGCCTTTAGACAATGGCAAATGCAAGGCAAGATAATTTACCAAACAAATATCTATTTATATTATCAAACGTTTTTAAATAGTTCACATCTTTCTGTTGACACTAAAAGGAAACTTTCTGTATCATAATAGCTAAGCCTAAACCCTGTTCATTGGGAACGTACTGGCATAGTTCCATAAAGTGCCATATAGTATTACCAATTTAGGACTAACTTAGACTACAGTTACAATATCAACATTGTCATCCTGCAACATATAAGCCCTCTCTTCCAGAACCCAGAACACCTGGTAGGCTTTTTAGAGCCAATCCTCTAATCATTACACTTTTGAATTCAAATACCCAAGATAGCCACAGAGTATAAGGACAGTGCCTGCTGATTTCAAATGAGTTCTTCCTAAATCATTGTCAAAAGAAGAAAGTACTATTATGTAATAAATTTTAAAAACTGTTCTGAACTCCATTGGATAATATGCCGTGACTGCGCCACTCATTGGCTATGAAAATTATAAAACTGGTTGCTATTTTTTAAAATTATGTTTAAAATATAGTTGTTCTTTCTAATTAAACCCATTCATGTATGTCCCAAAAATCTGTAATAATTTAGGGAATGAAAGATTTGGGGGAAATTCCAGGAAAACTCCCTTACCTGGAAAAGATAACTTCTTATGAATTTTATTTTTAAACCTGCTTCCATCTTGCTAAGTCAATGTCTTCCAATCATTCACCCGCATCTGAAAAATAAGACATTTAAAATACTGGGGGGGGGGGGCATCAAGATTCTTGTTTTCTGGTTGCTTTTTGTCTTCTTCTTTCTTCCCTCCTTTCTTTCTTGTTACCCAATTCTTTTTGCAAACTTAAATTGGAAGTAATGCCAGAACAAGAGTAAAAAGTAACATCAAAAACTGAAACAAAGGATTTCTAGACAAACCTTGGGAAGCATTTTGTTTACTTGCTTTCCAAAACTATGCATAATAAAAAGGTTCTGCAAATAAGTTACTTTCACATTTTTCCTGGAATTTCCCTGGCTACCGCAGACCCCGAGAACAATTTTACCAGAAATATAATCAAATAGGAATGTGAAATCTCAGAATACTCCCGAATTCCAGTATTTCAAGCCAAATTGCTCACTTGCTAAACCTGATTAAGAAACAGGGTGTCAATAGTGAAGAAGAATAGTTAAGGTATAATCAATGAACAAGGTTGTGATTACCTGGTGGGATATAGGATCTTTGCGACACCAATCTTAACTTTTTGACTCAAAAATGATTCCGGAGTCATTATCTCTCTCTGTTGATAGGGATGTTAAAAAGGAGCAGATATCTGAATGTGGTGGATTCAGAGTCTATCCCTTTCCCACCGCAGCAGGATTCTTGGCTTCTATTCCAATGTCTTTCATTGGCCATGTTTTAGACGTGGAGTTCGCCTTTCCCTCATTGTTCCTTTACTAATGGGAGGCGAACTGAACTCACTGTGCAGCTGCTTGCAAAGGGGAAAATCTATTTGAGTTTTGCCCGGCAGTGGACTTGAACACCAAATCCATGGTGATGTCAGCAGAACTACACCAACAGGAAGATTTTCTGCCCCTCACCCCTCCTTCTCTTTTTAAAGATGTATGTCTTGTGGAAAATCTCAGTGGACTTCTTTTGTCTTGGAGAGATGGAGCAATTTGGCTGAACAATTTTCAATGAAGGAAGGAAAGGAAGGAGGGTAAGATAAAAGGAATATGAAAGAGAAAGAAGGAAGGAAGGAAGGAAGGGAGGGAGGGAGGGAGGGAAGGAAAGGGTCAATGTGCTCCATCTACTCTTGGGCATTCATCCTGACACCCAACTTCATGAAGCAGAGAGACACCTAGTTTTTGGTCCCCCGTGGCTTTGCAGTTTTTCAGACGCAGCCCCTGTCTTTTGCCAAAAGATCCTATCATCTCAACAAGAGAGGCTCATCTAGCAATTGCTACTCCAAGGTAATCCACTAGGGCCATGCATCTTGACACACCATACTTTTCTGAGTGACCTTGCCACAGGGGTACCAGATCACTGTGTGGGGGCATCTCTCATGGACACAAGGCAGTACCAAAGCCAGCTAGTTTAGGCTGAATTGATTCTCTTTTACTCAGAGAGAGGAAAAAAAAAAACTGACCAGAAGGGAGGAGGGGCAGGAAGGCGAAGCCAAGCCATGGTTTCATGTTCCTTTCAAGTAAAGGGAATTTTAGAAATTGGTATTTATAATCTTCCCACCACTCACTCCCATATTAAAAAAAATAAATATTTTATGGAAAATGACAAGTGAAAACATATGTAGGTCCACTCAAGAAAAGAGACATGAACGACGAACAGCATGATAGAGTAAGAGATTGGTCTCAAACAAAAGATGCCCTCGGATTATTGGAATAGTGGATTTTTTGTTTTTTTGTAATTGAAAGATCTAAACCCAGTTAATGTTCACTTACAACAGATGTGTAATAGAGATCAACCATTAAAGAGTGAGAAATAGGAGGTAAATCTGCTTTGGACACACTTGATGAAACAAAAGAAAAAGAGACTTTGCCAGTAACAAGTTGCTCCGTGTACAGCTGGCTCAGGGAGAATACTTTCGCTTTGGAAAGGAATAAGTCTGCTCATGAAGACAATTTTTCTTCCTTTTTAAAATGCAATGGTGCCAATCTACAACTTCCTTTCTGATTATATTGTTAATAAAGCGGGGAATGGGGATTAAAATGAAAAAAAAATTGCTTAGACCCCGATTCAGACGTAGAAACAGGAGACATATCATTTTTAAAATCAGATGTCTGCCATTTCTTTAATATAAGTGAACTCCACGCTGCAGGAATGCCTCCTAACACCATCCCACTTTAACACTCTTCATCCAAAGCTGTTTTGCCCTTGAGAAAGCATACCAAAATTAGATTGGAAAGTGGGGGTACAGAAATAAAGCATTAGATTACTTAGATCCCCCAAGGAAAGAGATTCGCAATGTATAAATTGAGTATTTCCTCAGACCTGTAACTGTAGAACAATGGGATTCTTGTTCTGAGAAAGGTAAAGAAGAGCCTGGAAGCTCCACAATGAGACTTACAAAAAGGAAGCCATCGTCAAACCCAAGAACTAGGTTCAGCTGAAGCAGAAAGCCCCTTGCCTTCTGCCCAGGCACAGATTCCCCGAGAGGACAGCCGCCAACCCCTCTCTCTGCATTTCACCCTAGGTGTCCAGCTTTGCTCCCCTAGGGCTCCCAGGCCTTCTCATTTCCACACTCGATGAAAACAAGTGTTGAACAGCAAGAAACAATCAAATAGAATATGATTTTAAACAATCTCTGCCAAATCAAAGTTTGGAAAGAAAATGTACTAACCCACATCACCTACTCTTGCTCTCAACTTTCCCCAAAGTCCAAGTTTTTGTTTTGGGTCTTTTTTTTTTTTCCTGCCAGCCCCCTTCATCCATCCCTAACACACACACACACACACACACACATTCACAGACTTTCTCTCTCTCTCTCTCTCTCACACACACACACACACAAATACAAACACACAGAGAGAGACTTTCTCTCTCTCTCTCTCTCTCTCTCTCTCTCACACACACACACACACACACACACACACACACACACACACACACACACACCACTGCTGTCTGGTCCAATCTGGTGCCTGCTTAACAACAGCAGAATGACAAGCAACATCTGTTTGTGAAAGAGCCAAAATCAAACCTTAACATTTTTTGGCTAGGTTTCTTCTTTTCTTTTTTCCCCTGACTCTAAAATGGGAGGGGGCAAAAGAGAGAAATATTAAGATTTATATTCTGTGTTGGCTCCAATGAGGCAGCATCGTCGCTCCCCTAGGGCTGTTTGAAGGTAAAGCAATTTTAGAGAAAAGCACTGCAGTACTTAGGGTGGTTCCCCCTGAAGCAAGTCCAGTGACATAAATCGTTAAAAGTCTGTTTTTGTCTAATAGCTTTATATTCATCTTCTAATTAGAATTACAGGGCCTTTTGTGTTGGGAGGAGGGAAGGATGAGGAGAGAAAGGAACTAAAGCAAGACAGAAAAAGGAGGGAGCTCCGTTGTTCCTGCCCTCTTTCATAACACACAGGCGTACACACAGGCACACTCACACATATGCCACACACGGGAGCGGGCACTAGGAGCAGCGAGGCTGCGGCAGAAATCTGCACAGCTGTGGCCATCAAAAACAGGCTCTAGCATTCCCCCATGGAGATGTGGGTTTCTGGAAAGCTACCAAGAGTCCACAAAGTCACAATGCACAGGATCTGAGCCACCTCAGTGGTGGGGGGCGGCTGGTAAGGAAGTGAAAGCCTCCCTCACCAAACGCGACAATTGCACCCCAGTCGAGGGGAGATGGGCTGTTAGAGACTCGACTCCCATTTCACTCAGGATTTGGAAGAAACCCACACACATTAAGGGAGAAATAAATTCAGACAAGTTGCTAAGGAGACTTGTGTAAACTCCAAGCACAGACATATTTCCTGGCCTTTCCCCCTGCGCTCCATCTTGTATTCTGAGCACGCAGCTCTGCGGCAACGCTGCTCCAACCTTCTGCATTAATCTTGGCCTTAACCATGCAGACTGGCAAAGCTCGCTGGTTGTAGATATCATCATCTTTCAAACTTAACAAGTTAAAAGTGTGTGTGTGTGTGTGTGTGTGTGTGTGTGTGTGTGTGTGACACTAGTTGTGGGGAGAGAGTAAGAAAATCTTAATTGGGAATTTTTAAAATATAGGTGTTGAACAAAGAAGAATATTGACACTGTATTTTGGGACTAGTGGGCAAAGGGATAGGTAAAGCATCTAGCTCTGGAAATTTCCCCTTGATCCCTTGTCCTTTCTTCGTGCCCCTTGACACCCTGGCCCCACATGTCCTGCTAAAATTGTGTCCCCTGGCAGACGTAAGCAGAGCCCAAATAGCTACAGATGACGGTGGAGGCGCCCAGGTTTCTGTAGAAAGCAGTGCATATCACAAAGTGGAAGTCTGCCCCCTTTTCCCCTGCTCAGGAGGGTGTCCCTGAGATCAGCTCTTTGAAAACAAACTGGGGCAACACCTAAAACCTCGAACTCAAACCTGTTTGAATTCTAAGCCAGAGAGGATTTCAGAGGAGAGAGTCCCGACTGCTCTCCATTCTGGGGAGCAGAGAACTTCTCCCACAGTGATACATCTTCAGTAGCAGCTGATGCATGTCAACATTTGACTTAGGGGGAAATTAACATTTTCTTTCCACACAGAGATGTTTGTACTGTAGAAGCCAATATTTTCTTTTCTCAGCCTCCTGTATTAGAATTTCTACAATTTTCCCCAGAACAGCGAGAAAGTAGACAACAAAAAGCCCAAATCACTGTTCAGGGTGCTAGGATAAACCACGTGTGCCAAAGTTTTATCTGTGTATGTATTTGTATGTGTTTGTGGGAATTTCTGTGTGTTTATGTGTGTTCATGTGTGCCTATGTGTTTGAATGTGGTTCTGTGCATGTCTGTGTACAGGTGTGTCCTTTTATATGTATTCACAATATGTATGTATGTTTGTGCATTTACACTCATGCACATTTGTGTGTGCTGGGTGTGTTTTCCTGTGTGCATGTGTGTTTGCATGTACGTGAATTTGCATGTACATGTACAAGTGCATGAGAGTGGCTCTGCCTCACCATGATGGTGAGATTAGTCAAACAGAAACCAAAGTAGTTGAAGGGTAGGCATCTGTGCCATCCCTTCCAAAATTAGGGAAGTTC